CTTCAGTGCTAGCGACAAATCTGAGGGACTATGTTTTGATCTGTTCACCTAACATTTTAAATTAGTAAAATCACTTTTAAATATTCACATCTTAAGTTGGTAGCCAAGAAATAAACGAGATACTAAAGTCATGAAAATTAGAAGTCCTTCTGGGTGAAACCACAGACTGGATTATAAATGGACACAGCTCTGGAAACGTCACCCATTTATTTCTGAAACAGGATTTTGAAGCCTATTTGCAGCAGTTGTCATATTAGCAATGCTGACTCAACCTTACTATCAGTCAACCTACCAGAGGCACACCTTTGGCCTCCTCACTAATGGGCACAGTGTGCCTGCCTGACAGTCAAGTCAGCTGTTTGTCTGATTCCCTGATTTTGTAACCTTAAGAACTTCGATTCAGTCCTTGTACTGAGGAGGCTGTGGGATTCTGAAGCAAATCTGACCAAAACTGCTTTTGTTTTTATTCTATTTTAATTATTGGTAAAATCTGCATGTGTTTTTTTTGGTGCTTCTGCGGGGAGCCTCAAGCAGGGATGCAAGGAATTGCTTTTTTTAGCACTTCAACCTCTGCTTCTAGAAACTAGACCCCTCTTCCTCACCCTGTCTGGAATCTTCTATGACTATTTCCCTCACCGTGGGTTATCCCCGACGGAGTTGATGTTATCAGAGGGACTCCTTTGCTTGGTCATGTGCTCCAGAATTGTAACTTTGACAGAAATGGTTGATTTGCATAAGATTGAAAACTATCCTCTGCAGCGAATGCAAAACTATTAAAGATTTCCAGGTAACACCAATCCTGTGCAAATAGAAATTGTGTTGGAGTTGTTATTGGCTTTGAAAAGAATTATATAACAGCTGTGTCTGGTTTCACTAAAGCATCTTACTCTTGGACACAAGGGTCTAGAGAGCAATTACGATCTTTACTGTAATATCAGATACCCAGGATAACAACTGGAGCCCACAGAGATCAAACAAGAACTTAAAGTAGATATAATTCCATCATTTGCATTTGCCTTTCAAGATTACATTGTGGTCATAACAATCTGATGCAGGACTTGCAAAACTTTTTGAACCCCTATCATATGCAGAGTTTTTTGTGGTAAACGTGCATCTAAAGTTGCATCTTCTGGGCTCTTGAACCTTGACAAGGTTGAGAAGAAGATTTGGAAACTACCTTGCTGCTTCCAGGTACTCAGACAGGCCAACATGGCTGCCAGACGCTGCATTACATCACTAGAAAGTCTCTCTGCATTTGATGGCTTTGACATTGGGCTTAGGTAATACTGAAACCATGTGTACAAAATTAACCAGTTAAATGCGTCCCTCCCCTTGACTTTTTTTTAAACTTGGAGACCTGATTGGTGCAGCTATTTTTGACACTCTGTGAAAGTTTTTTTTTTTCTTTTTTTTTTATTAATAAAATCTCGGCAACACCGCTGATTGTCCTGAAACCAACCTGTAATCTTTTAACGCATTGTACTTGTTTAGAAAGAAAAAATAAAAAAACATAGAAAAAATAGAAACTCCTTCACTGCTGTCCTAGAAATTCTCTTTCAACTGCTGTTGTGAATTCTGTTTGAAGCTCCGGCTTGACAGCTTCATTTGTGAAGTGTCTCAATTAGGCAGAATATTTCTGCCGACATATCTCGACGCCCAGGCTGTCTCACTAGAACATGAAAGCCCGGGCTTAAGGAAGTCATCACACACCTCAGCAGAGAGAGAGAGAGACAGACAGACACTCTCCTGCGTGCACTTACACACACATGCTAACACTAAAAATAGAGGCAGCTATCCTGCTAGCGCTGGTTAATGCTCCTCACCCCAGACAGTTGGATTTGCATATCTTTAATGTGCTTTTTTCTCCTCTCTCCTTCCCTTCTCCACATCTCTCCCCTTTTCTCCCTCTTTCTCTCCCTCTTTCTGTCTTGTGTGAAACAGTCTGCTCTCTTATAGGAATTCTCAGGAGGGCTTGCAGTGCATGTTGAGAGGGAGCTTTTTGTATCAGAAAAGCAAGAAAAAAGCAGGCTGAAAAGATTTCGACAATTGTGGTAATTAGAGATTTTGGAAAGGCGAGACACACACCCTCCCTGCGCCACCGCCACCTACTCCACCTCTCCCTCTCTCACTCAGACTCTCTCAGGTCTTTCAGGCCACTGTAATGGCCTCCATCTGGTCTGTGAGAGTGGAATAGAAAAGTATTGAATCCCTGGGCTGTATAGGACGGCCATCTGGGTTAGGGACACTCCCACAGCTCTGGGGCTGCTTCTCAGCTGTCCCAACTGACCAGCCGACAGAGCTGACGGCTCCAGGTACACATAGTGACCTCATGTCAGTTACTGTAACAACAGTAGGTACTGGCTGATATATCCCATAATGCCCAGGAGCTCTCAGATAAACAGTGTGCAATGCAGAAAAGTAGTATGCAGTGCTAGCATATAGATAATATTACACCGGCATTTTGAATTTGTGTGCAACACAGGGTAACCAAACAACATTATTACCTGTTTTGGTACCATGGCAACAGAAATTGAACTCCTGGGCAAACAAATCTGAGTAATTTTCCCTTTTTTATTACCAAATTTCCAACAGTGCTGGTGCACCAAACCTCTCAGAACACAAAACAACACTTAACAAAGTGTGAGCGGTAATGAGGGCAAAACAAAAAGAGTTTTTTTTAACAGGAAGAAAGCCCAAAACAGGCTATTAAAAATTATTCTCAATTATTATCCAGAGCAAGTGTGTGTTAGTGTGTGTATCTGCAGAATTTTGTGTTTTTCTTATTTATTTTGGACATTCAGGACATTTTGGACTAAAACTGGTAAAGACAAACTGTCTCCACACACCAAGCATGAGTAAAATCATTTGCGTGAATGAATTACATGTTAAGTCAATGCAAAGACGCAATTAGATGCTCCTACTACCCTGGCATGCCAATTATGCGAATCGGGCGAGCACTGAAAATGTCTCAACTTGAGCAGATATTCGCGTCGCAAACAACGGACGGTTGCTCACTGGTATCTAAAATGGAGGACAAACTGATCGTGTTGGTGTTTGGTTGCTCTGAATTACATGATACCTTATCTCTCAATTACCGAAACCGGAATCAAAAGGAGCTCGTCTGGAGGCAAATGAGTAAGGAGGTCAGATTACCTGGTAAACTGTAAAAAACCTTTGTCTATCACTTGATCCCACCAGTTAAATTGACAGGGATTGCTGTGGAAATGACCATTTACGCGCAAATGAAGTGAGAAAATACTATTTATTCACGTGTCTAGATTCGCACTAATTAAGCCAGTAGATGATTTTACTTGCGCTTGGTGTGAGCACCACATAAGAGATGCTTAAAAGAGTATACAACATGTTTGTTTTCAGTCTTTGTGAATGGATACAGTTGATGACGCTGTGGCTGTCTAAGAGGGCAGAGCAATGACACACACAACAGGCAGCAACTAACCTTAAATATCACAGCAACAATATTATTGAGAAGTTTATGGAAACCTTATCCTTCCATCTGATAGATAAATCAATGAAAAAGTATATATATATATTTTAATCTCCTTTACCCTCTTCATCGATTAGACATTGTTGTTTGCTGTATTAAATATGATATTACTATTAATATTATTATAATACTTAAGTTTTTTTCGACATTGTGTGCCTGAAGACAACTCTGGAGGTTTCCTCTCTTTCACATTTGGCCCTTCAGTAGTTGTGTATTGGTGTGGTTTTGTTTTTAACTTGTCAGTGTATTGTTTCTGAACAGCATAAAGCTCCCAGGAAACAACAAAGTAAGACTGCAGAAAAGATTAGGCACAAACTGAGCAGTTACTAGCGGTAATATTTGTGATATAGGTATACAATTTAAGAAACAAAACAGCTCCTGTTTTTCTTTTTCAGGGGGTGATTATATAACAGTTTTGGCATAGAAATTAGAGTAATGTTTGCACAGAAAGCCATTGTCAGCTCAGTATATCACGTTGTTAGTTGAGTGTTGTTGTGTTAGACTCTGGCTGTGGGTCATGCAGCATTTCAGCTCAGACTCTCTGCAATTTAATACAAATGGTTCAGTCAGGGCTTGTGTTTCTACCGGGTAAGCGGACTCTCGCAACCAGGGTCTAGAATAATATATGGTAAACGCTTGACCAGACCACTCCAATGATGTTGAACCAAACACATAACAGAATTTCAGACCTCGAGCCTCGGCTGTTTATTTATTAAATAACCCGCAGCCGTCAGAATGTCCGATAATCTAAACACAGCTTGATTTCCTTAAGAGTACTTTAAACATAAACACTCAGCCCTGTTAGAGCTCACTGTACACAGTGTATTTATCTGTCTCTTTTTAAATAAAGCTTCCTGCTGATCGCTGGGTCAAAAGTAAATACTTTCAAATGGAGCGGTGTCCTCGTATTAGTGGCAGCAGGTATCATCACATTGAATCCATTTAGATCAGCCAAACATGCTCTGATTATGTTTGTGGGGAAATTGGAGTGTGGCCCTGCACATCCAGGAAGTCTCCCACAATAACACAGAAGAAGAGGAATCTTGTGTTTTAGTTTTTTTCTTCTTTTGAACAGATAAATCTGAGCACAATACCCAACAGCTTTATCTCAATACAGTTAAACAATCAATTACGGACTAATAACTCTTCCTAATGACAGACAATATAAAGTTTTATGAAATGGACTTAAGTTAATGATTTGTAGCAAAATGGTCAGCCAGTGCTTACTTTGGTACATCTGCTAATTATGATGCCTTATGGTTACCACAATGATGAATAAAAGCATAGACATACTCAGAAATACACCAAAATTATAAGTTATCAATCAGAGTTGCTAAGTTAGATATAGATTACAAAGAAAAACCTTAAGTTTTCATATTTGAGTAAGATTTATTCTATGGCAGAAATTCAGAAGCTTTATATAACTGAGCATCTTTTGAGGTCTTACTCAAGATTAATGGAGGCACTTAGTAAAAAGACCTTTACAACCTGCTTTGGTTGGCAACAGAGGAGTCAAATAACACCAGACTTTCACTTTTGAGACTGAGTTTCAAACCTGTTTGGAATTAAATGTCAATGATCAATTGATATTTGAAAAGAAATGTGTTTATCTTATTAAACTGAGAAGATCTTTTGGTCAAAAGGTAACCAACAGCTCATTTCGTTTTAGCAGCTGAATTACAAAATGCTGAAAGGCTCAGAGGGCTGAACTTGGTTTATTGATCCTAAAGTGTAAAAACTGAACTATGCCCAGGAAAAAGTGTGGCCTTCGTGTTCCTGATGTTTATCTTTATTATTCAACATAAAATGTAAAATTCCCACTGTCCTGGGCATATATTGAAAACTATGACATATAACGGGCTGTTTGCAACAAAACACTGGCAAAGAGCACCTGAATGAAACCAAATATCACTCAATAGGACCACATCATGAAGGATGCAGATGTTATACCACCACATGAACAGAAAACTCAGTTTGGTTTGAAGGACTCTCCTTTTCCTCAACACCAACATCTCAGATTCAGCTCAAGGAGTCATACTTGGATCTAAAGGGGTTCTTCAACCACGCTGAAGGAAACTACAGATAAGTTACTAATCCTCTTACTTTGACAACTGGAAAATTCACAAACAGGACTGCTATAGTTTACAGAACTAGCTTATGGAGTTTTTAGGTTTGTTGTCTATGGAGGGTGCAGCCTTAAGTCAACGTGACCATAACGAACCAGATCCTTATGGGTGATCATTAAATAAAAGTTGAATGTTAAAATAATGATTGGGCCCTCAATATGTATACATTTCTTTCAAACAAGATTATTAAACAGAAAGGTAACTTCTGCTGAAAAAATGCCAGCTGAAGGCCAACTCCCAATGGTACTTAATGGGTACCTGAATGGACCTTGGAAGAAACCTAGATAGGGATGATAAAGGATACCTTGAATAGCTTATGGGTGCCATAAAATAGGGGATGTTAAAAAAAGAGGAGCTAAAGGGTACTTGAATCAGAAAATGGTACCTTCAAACTTACAATTAAGGATATTGAAGGGTATTGTTTAACATCAGCTCAAGGGTACTTTAAAAAGAGGCTTGAGAAAGAGCCTAAAAATCCTCAGAGTTGTTTACTGACAACATGTCAAATTCATTCTTGTGCTACTGTTTACAATGTCTTTTGTTTTCCTCTATATTTGTGATCGTCAATAATCATCCCCTCTATTTTTTTAAAACTCATTTTATACCCATTATACTTCCAAAACTCTACTTTAAGTAACTTCCCAACTGGCACAATGGTTTAGATGCTGAAAGCTGTGCTCCGTCTCACACTGACTTGGCTCAAAATCAGTATTCTTTCAGCGCTCATACTTAACAGGGTCTCTTCAGAAAGATGAGTTATCATCAGCTGTCTCAAACCCTCAGAGGAGTGACTAAAACCTTTAAATGATTAAAAAAGTGTTTTTCTGACTCTTTTAATTAATCTGGACACGATGTGAAGAGGGGCTGCCAGCTGAGCTGACCACTAAGAGACGAGCTATGATTTCGAGAACAGGTTGACTAATTTTTCTCTTTAGAAAAGTAGAGGCAGATTTTTCTTTGTTTTTGAAGGAGTTTTCCTTTTAATCTTTGAATAAAAGTGTCTGTTGATCAAAAGCTCTAACAACAATGACTTTGCAGCTTCTTTTTAAAAAGCAATATTTCAGTGCTTCTTAGGATGGCTCAAGAGGCGGCTAACTTTAGCTCAACCGGTTTATGTTTTAACTTCTTAAGGTTCTTTCCATGAATAACAGGTTTGATGAAATAGTTCACAAATTTAGAAGTGACTTTAACACAAGTGCACAGTGAGAGAAGAGTCCATTGGAAATCTTTTTTAGCCACCTTGGAGTCGCAAAACTGCAGAAGTTTTGGTCTCCATTGCATTTATTTTCACATGGAGTGGACTGTCAGATCTTTTCATTTTGATTTAAAAAATGTCCAAAAAATTTTCTCTGGTCCATATCCTTAAATTTACTGTAATCAGTTTTTGGTGCCGTGTAATTTAACCACTCTTATATCACTTTGGCATGTGCATGAAATGAGTGCAGCTATGTTGACCTGTATGAACCACATTCCACCAAGTGGTCCGTCAGTGATTCTCTCCATCTGTTAAGCTGTCTTTGCCCGTGGCCCCTGTGTGTCCTGTGTGTTTGTGGTTATCTCTCTCTGTCTGTCTGTGGTCTGTCTGTCTGTCTATCACCTCTGACTTTCCCTGTCTGTCTCACAACAGTCATCCAAGCTATACAGACGCTCAGCCAGTGGAAGAACGCTGGGCAGGGTGCCAGCCAGCCGGGGCGCCAGTTGGGCAGTCCATCAGTAGCATTAAAGACATGTTATCCACCCGAGTGTATCCGCCTGGCTTAGAGCCCTGATCCCCTGTCCGAGCCCCCCCATGCTGCCCCTTGAATCACTCAGGGGCCCTGGATAGAGTGCACCGAGTCCCCTTCTTGCTTTATCAGCATGGCACCCAGGCATCCAGCCTGCTGCTTTGGGTCTCTTAAAACACGTACACAAATAAATGAGGAGGGTGCTGGAAATAACTACTTTCTCATCTCCAGCCAAGCTGCCCTGCTGCTCAGGTCATTGTCTTTAAAGGGACAGGGCACCAAAGAGAGCAGGCTGCCAATGACCTCCACTCAGTTTTTTCCCCTCAGGTCAGCTTAGGTCAATAATATAAAAAGATAAAAGGCTTGAAAGGGCTGTTTGTTTCCTGTTATACTTAGCCAGATAATAGATTTAGTGCTTTTTTCATCACAGCTAAAAATACGTGCTGTTGCTGTTGTGTCTTGTCCTCATTCTATCTGCTTTAATTTTATGGTCACAGATTTAGAGACCAGCTTTCATTATTGTTGATGAAAGATCCGAAGTGTTACTTGATCTCAACTACAAAGTCGGGGTCTCTCACTTAAGGAGCTCGTTGGTGTTGACACAGGTTTGCCATTTTGTTCACACGCCATTATTACAAGGGTTCCCGACCTTTCTGACAGCTGCTGTCATGTTTCAGATGGACTGATGGGGTAGAGGGGTTGTGACGCACCTGATGGCAATCCTGTACTAAGATTATGTAAAGATATAAAGTACAGAAAAAAGTATATTGCAACCCAGACTGTTTAAGAAAACTGGTCGGGTTTTGGGAAATGTGGGGAATAGAGAACAGGGAGAGACCTGCAGCAAACAGGGAAGGCTGGATTTCTGTGCAAACATATGAATGTGCTGCATAACCCAAACTGAGCTGTAAATGTTAATTTAGCTGTAAAAAAAAAAAAAAACAGGGGACTCCTTTGCCTTAAGTGGACTCTTGAGAAATTTTACACTTCTGCATTGCCCACAGTTTTCAACTAGAGAGGTTGTGTTAGCCCAATTCCTGCAAATGAGCCGGGAAACAATGAAAGCTGTGATCAGATTCACAGACATCTTTGAAGGACCTGTAGACACTTTGGTACTCCACATTTTAAGCATGTTCGTGATCAGATGAGCTTGCATTAAAAACTAAAAAAAAAAATTATCACAGATCATTGAAATGTATTAGCATGAGTTTCATGGTGTATGTGCAGCAATATTCAAAAAGACAATCAGAACAAAAGTTCAACTCAAGACCCAAACTGGCTGACATAAACAAAGACCCTTTGACCCCAAATGTCCATGTTAGGATATGTCAGCTCTGTGTAGCGGTAGATGTTGAGTTTCTCTTTGGTATGAGCTGAGGAAAAAGATTTTTCAGTATAGAAAGCAGGGCCACGAAGGAAAAACAAGAATCCTATCTTGACAAATCTTCTTGAGTATTTTCTGTTCTTGTCTCTACCACCTTCCTTCACCTCCCTCTTCAGAGGGAATTGATATCTGCATAATAGACCTGACTACCTGACTCACTGAATCAGTCGATAGGAGAGTATTGTTGGTGGTTGAAGCAGTGTCTTTTGTGTCATTATTGGTGGTGGCTGAGTTAGCTTCAATGACAAAAAGGCTACTGATATCTGTCGTCCTTGTTGAGAACTGATTGAGTCAATAATACCAAAGATATTGTGAGCTGGAGCTCTGTGCAGGGAGCAAAAGTCAAGTAGTTCTCTTGAGCTGAAAGAAGTTTTACAACCTTAGGAAGCATAGCTACAAATTTGGCCTTTTATAAATCCAACTTAAAGTCCTCCAATATTCTGAAAACCAATAATAAGCCCCTATTTCTATTTCACCAGATGAATTCAGTGGACATCAACATGTGATGGACATGGAGATCTGATGTCTAACTGGCATTATTTCTGTTCACAGACATGAACATGGACAACTGAATGCTTGCAGAGGAAGATATAAAGGTAAGACAGTTGCCATCACCATATTGATTGTTTGCTAATTGCTCTTTTTATCTCCATCTTTACCTCCTTTTGATCAGTCCACCTTGACAGCTCACACATGATCCACCATCATGGAGGCGTCGAACCTTGAAAGTCCTGTGTTCAGTGATTTCGAATAACTTTTCAAACAAACCTGAAAAAAAAAAAAAAAGATCCACCCACACATCTTTACAATCAGAGCCCAAGACGGGGATTTGGAGTTAAACCAGTCTGCTCCTGCACTGATTAAACAAAAATAATGATTATTAATAAGCCTGGAGAGTAAGCCTTTCTACCCCGGCTTAAACCTAAACCAACAAACAAACAAACAAAAGTGCTGACAAAGGACAGTCATCAACACCTGCTGACAAGCAACAAAAAAACAGGGGGAGCAGCTCAATTTGTGGTTTGCTAACAGTGGTGTAAAGCCAGTAATGATGGGGTATGTTTTAAAGAGACAAATTTTTTACCGGCCATTGCTTCGCTCATTACCAACTTTATGAGATTCTAGTAAACATTGGGCTCTAAACTTCAGCTGGAGTTACCAAGCTCAGCATAACTGGTCCCAGTTTGATAAGACTGGAGCACTGGAGCAGGCTCAGACTGCAGGAGTTCATGTAGATCTGTACCTGATACCCCCCTGCAAACAGGGAAGAGGGTCTCATACAGAGAACTGGTTAGTTATGATGGTTTCTCTTCAGTGGGTGGTAATTAGGTCCAATCTTAAACCTCTGGAACCTCTTGAAGACCTTTTGTAGACTGAGCTACATCTCTTTAAGTTTTAGGGTCTTGATCAATTAAAATTTTGCCCGACAGAATAAAGCAGAAACTTTCCATGTGGTCCTTTCTCAGATCTCAAATTAAAAGGTGAAAACTTTAAAACCCTGGTGAGTTTGAAAGGCACCTTCTTAAGGATTAAATATATAGATACTCGTTTACCATGGGGTCTTTATGGACAAGAGTATTTATTTCACATAAATATCCAGTAAGATTGACCTTTTCCAGTTCAGGCAGAGGTGGTGAACATTGTGACACAAGATGCATACTCTAAAGAAAACAATCCCTGATGCCTCTTTGTGAAAAATAATAATAATAAAAAGCTATGCATTATAGGTACCAAATAGCTCACTTTCACCACTGCTGTTGTTGTCACCTTGCACATATGGCACTTTGAACAGTCACTCAAAGTGGGCCTTTTCAGCTCATCACTCACTCGTACTTGTCAGCGGCATTATGTTAACCTTTACCATCCTCCTTTCAATGGCTTTCAAGTGCTGGGCATTGAGTGTATAGTTGGCTTCTTCTATGCTGTGATTTCTATAGAACTTAATTTGCGCTAAGGTATTTTTCCTCTGTGTTTCTCTGCCTATCACCTCTCAGTGCTGCTGCAGATGCAAGAAAAAGCTGTCATTGCTGTTTTTTCAGGGCTAAAAGGGATGGAGGAAGTCACTGACAAAATTGTTTCCCCTCCTCCTTCCTTCCTTTGCCTCCTTTACTCACCCACTAACAACTACCTATGTAGTAAAGTGCATCCCAGTGTTCCCATATGGCCAAAAGCAGCAGATAGCTCGAGTGCTTTGCATGATACATGATCCAGAGTTTAAGAGCAAGTACAGCTGCAGAATGCTCTCCTCTGATAAATAGGGTTTCTATTATAATGGTTCAGTATTGACCCTTTGTGAAAAAGTGCTCATCACCCAGCCAGCAGTGTCCACTTTGGAAATGATGGGTGTGATGCAGCGTTATTGATCACATATTTATTGTAGAGCTGATTACAGTTTGTCCATAGGATCACAGTGATGCATTGCACGGCTCTGTCTGTTTGATTGAATTGATGCACCATCCCCGGGCTTTCACACAATCCGGATCTCAGCACTCAGAATGGACTCTGCTGACAGCTCTGCATGAAGAGCCAACGCTGGTGCCAGAGCAGCTTGTTTGCAGAGGAAAATTGACCCTTGCTCCAGACTAGAACAACAGTGTTTAAAGTCAGCTGCCATCAGAGCATCTATGGGTCACATTCATGGGCAAAGTTGGTCGATGATATCTGTGCATGTCCAGAGTGGATTTTGAGAAGTAATTTGAATGTAGTTGCAGCAAAATGAGCCCTGTGCATGTCACTGAAAGTGTGGTTTTGGTTAGCACTAAATTATAGCAAATGAAATACAGTTGATGTTTTGTCGACATCATGGTGGTATCAGGGAATGAAAAGGGTTTTAGGGCTGGGCGATATGGCGTCAAATCAGTATCACAATATATTCTGCACTTCAGCCGTCACTCTAGCCGCTACAGCTTTTAAACCGTCCTCCATCTCCTCACCTGTCTTTGTTACGGACTCTGACGTAGGACAGTGTCTTAAAGAAACATGAGACCATAGCCTACCTACACACATCCAAAAACCCCTTTTTTATTTATTTGACACAGAATATATTGACATGGGCAAAATGACATTGGTTATTGGTTATTAAATTTCAGTATCAGTAATTTTTCGTTTTAAAAAGCCCTAGAGGGTTCTATTGCTTGCAGATATATGTGTAAAATATCTGATATTTACCCTTTTTATGGCCTCTTATTCAGATTTTCTGTTCTGGCACATAATGCACACATGTCCTCTTTTGTTATTGTAACTAATGTTGGCTCTGCGTGTTAATCACGAGATGCAGAAGTCGTATAGCTCTGCAGAAATGTGCAAGACACTAAGTTTTACAAAGAATTTGTTTGGGTTGGGCGCAGTGGTTTAAAGCACGCATGCCATACACAGAGGCTTAGCTGTTGCTGCATCAGTCCTCGTCAGACTCCAGCCTTTAGCCCTTTTCTTGCATGTTGTCTTCATCATTTTTTCCAGATTGCTGACTCTGTCCAATCCCTGTCTTATCTAAGAAACAGACAAAAATGTCATCTTAAAAAATTCAGACATATGAAGCCAACCTGTATGCTCATTTATAGTTGATACGGTGCAAAATTCTATTTAATTCTATTTCATTAAAAGATGGAATATCCTGCATTTACATATTCAGATATGCCCATAGATTATCTAGAGTCCTTTACTCTTTTAAATGTGTATCTCTATTTCTGCATCAGTACCTACCTTCATCGCTCCTCTCCTGCTCAAGCCTCCATTGCTTCTGACTGATCCCTCCCTCCCTTCCTCCTCCCTTCCTCCCTGCTGCACCTCACTTACAGTTTGCCCTCCTCCATCTTACATCTCTGTCTGTCTGCTCCATTTTTACCAGAAGGCATCCCTCTTCCCCTATTCCCTTTCCTCTCCCTATACTCCTTTTTCTATACACTATGCAGCCCCCTCCCCACCCCTGTCTGCCTACATCTGGAGCTGCTGCCGAGTCTTCTTCTTAAATTCCTGGCATGCTTCTTCTCTCGGAGCCCAGCATCCCCTGGCTGGCTGTCTCCACTCTGGATACGGCAGCATAAATTACAGCGTGTCCTCACATAACCTACACTCAAATGTATTCTGACACACTCCAAATGCTGACTTACATGAATCAATATTTCCTAACTTTGTGGACTATTGATTAGCGTGCTGTATTGCTGTTCATTTAACTATAACCAAAGAGTGATGACAGGAATATGACCGGGAATATATGAGTACATATATTTGTATCCTGGTCTCTTTATAAGTGGATCTCATCTACACTTGAGCCTGTGATGTTTATTTGACGACACAAACCGCTGAAACTTTGATATCAGAGAAAAAAGAGACTGCTGTGGCTTATTGCAGGGTTTGCACTGTTAAATGGCAACATTGTGTAGCTGATATGGCACATCCACTTCTTCACCAGCAACTGGATTAGATAGTAACAGCAAATATTAGGCATGCCCTTCAAAATCTGACCTGTTTCAGCCTGTCAGGACAAGACCAGGGGAAACCACAGTCTAATTTACAGTTACCAAAAAGCATAATGCAGTTCCTCTCCCCTCAAAAAGTCTTGTTGTCGTTGCCATGTGTGTTGCTGATCCGTCTCTTTGCTGAGTTTGTGTGCAAGGTGTCGGCAGCTGTCAGAAACAGGGTAAGGTGTATACATGTCACAGTATCCTGTTTTCATCCATAATTTTACAGGTAGCAAACTCAGACATCTCTAAGGTGAGAGGAGAGCTAGTTCTGGTTTCTGACTTCAGGAATTGATGTTTACATGCAAAAACACAAAAAGGAGATATTTAAAAATCTCACGGATAACCAGGATACCGATGTTGAAGTCCACAAAGTCGATAATGTTGTAGTTCAGGTTTCAGAGTTGGTAGATATGCAGTACTCTAAATAGGTTAGAATTAGTGTTAAATCCCCTTTTGTTCTCTGTCTTTGTCCCTGAATAGACCCACAGCATGTGAAGTTCATCTCTAAATGAGTAGCTATTCATGTGTTGTTTTCTTTTCACCCCTCCTCCTTTGTTTTAATTAGACAAGGCCAACCCCTACGTTGTATTGACATCCCGTGGCCTTCTGCCATTCAGATTCACAAGGAGAGATTTCTGGCAAAACTTGAGTCGAACCTCCTGCCGTATGGAGCTGTATGGAGCTTTGATTAGAGCAGTCATCATTTGGTTACGCAAAGGAGGCCATGCACTCATTATGAGGGCGTTTACAATTAATAATGCACCATTACAGTGGAATTGTGATTTAACAACTGCACCCAGTGAGATATAGATGCGTGCCAGAAATCTGGGCCAAAATGTCATGTGGTCAGCTGCATAAGTCCAACTGTGAAACACAAGTACAAAAAGTGGGACTATTTTGCCCACAGCTCTTTTGAACTAACAGGTCATCAAGCTACACAGGCAGTCTGATTTTATGACACCTTCTAGTCTCTCTTTAGGCATCTGTCTCTCTTAATTAAGATTTTTAAACTTATATTTTTTAAACATATTTTGGTGTCTTATTGACAATTTGGGGAAAAAAAGTATACATCTTATCGTGTGAGTTATTTCAATTGCAGGCATCAAAATGCTCAGGGCATTGCTATAAACAATCTTGTGGTGGACCTAATCCACCAAAAGATTTTTGGAAAATTGTGAGTCCAACCAAGTTGCTTTCAGATGTGATAGTCCAGGGATTCAGCTTGATTGTGGAGTGAGATAGCAAAATTGTTTCACTTTCATGACTTTGGTTCTTTTTCACTCTGCAGTTGGTCAAACTAACCAAACCATCTAGATAATGTTACACAGTTATTATTACTGCTCGACTGTGGCGGTATTGTCCCGTACAAACACTGACATGCAGACGACACAGATGAGACACTAAAATGGCTCATCTTTCAGCCAGAACCGATGATGGAAATCCATCCCCTTTGGTTGACTTATTCGGCACATCACTACCAAATTTGTGCAGTCTTTGGGTATCTGCTTTTGCTCTGGTGATCATATGAGTGTGTTTCACAAAAAGACACCCGGCAAGTGAGGTAGTGAGCGGCCGGGCATGGTCATTACAGGAGATGAGATGGGACCTCAATTTTCATGTGGACCAGAGTTCACTTGTTTGGTCCACACCAGAGTTTGTATGACGCAGACCATCAGAGTGAATGCACTGCCTAAGCCAAGACGGCTGAAAACACACTTTATACATTTTCCAGTGTGTCCTTTGTGTTTTGTGCAAAGTGTTGTTTAAACAGACTCTCTGTCTGTCAATATGGGACTCTGCATATTCACTGTTAAAAAAAAATCACAAACAAACGCTGAAACAACTTTACTTTCTTATAATCCACATTTTGTTTGGATTGTGTGTAAAATGTTCGCCGTGTTAAACATGGATCATCAGAATTAATAGGTGATCTGGGAAAGAGGAGATAAAACCACCACAATTCATCTTGAATGAGCCCTTCATAGTTACATTGACATTTGTAATCATGCTTCTTTCTCTCTTTTCAGTTTTGATAAGACCTTTATACAATTGACATCTTTTTCTTTTATTGTAGAACTCATACTCTGCAAAAAAAGATGTTATTTGCTGTTTTAAACTTTGGTTGAAGGTCTTCTCTCAGAACCCTAACTAATAGAAGTTGTTCACTACTCCTAATTAAACATGCTGCAAAATGTTCTATACAAATAAATAAATAAAAATAAATAATAAAAAAACTAGTGCTGAAAACTTTAATTGAATTCAAGGGGGAAAAAAAGCTTTTTGATGCTCAAAACTTGAGACCATAAAACATGCACAGTACACAGATTAGATCACATACAAATTTTCTTTGAACATCTGCAGCTTCAATGGAAAAGAAGCCGAAACAAAGATCATTTATGAAATGATCAGTGGATAGTTATATTTTGGTTCTGCCAGTGCTAACTTTGGCTGAAATAATATAAACTGTCAGTGTATTAGTTTCCTGCATACTGCAGTCTAAGCTCCCAGCTGGGTCCTGGCACAGAAAATTGATAAATTATGGTGCCAGACAGCCCCACCACACTACAACTGTATGCCACATTCAATCAGTTTGGCGTCTTGATCAAACTTGTCCAGTTGCACTCACATTGTTTTTGTAGATTTGATATAATTTACTTCCAGATATTTCATGTGGAACTAGATTGTGCTCAAGTATCACTGTATCACTGTCACTCTTTAAGCTTGTTTCCACTTACTCGTGTGATCCTGGTGAGCAGAGTCCCTATATTCTGAGGAGATCTGTATGAAATCTGGTGTTTCTGCAAAACTCTTTACTCCTGTAATATACTGTTGGTCTTCTGAGGTGGATTTCAGAGGGACTTCGTAACACTACGGCAAGCTGTGAGATAGGCAGTTTCCTTTAACTCTGTGTAAAGTGTATAGTGGGCTTCTGTGACTAGTTTCAGTTAGATTTAACATAATGCAAACCTTGTAAATGACAATCTGTTTATAGGGATAGACATGTTGGTTTACCCATCTGTGGACAAAAGTCACACATCAGGCGTGATATCAAAACTTGGCTTCACCTTAAAATTTTCAAGAAGAGTTGAAGAAAAAAACAACAACTATATTTTCAGGCTTTTTGTGCCTTTGAAAGAATGAGACAGTGGATAAAACAAGAAATGGGGAGGACAAGCAGGGTGAGACATGAGGGGGAGGAGCCACAGGCAAATGTTGAATCCAGGCTGACCACTTGAGGCAAAACCTCCATAAGTAGGGTGTGTGTTCAGACCGATAGACCAGCAGAGCCGAAAACTCCCTTTTTTAGCAGTCAACAATATGTTGGTTTTTAGTGGGTGGAGCTTAGCAAGATGCCAAGACACAATTACTAGCACTAGCTAACAAGTACTGTTTGACTTGTTTTTAAAAATGGTTGAAGATAACAGCTTTTCTGGTATATGTAAGGTCACTAAGGTCAAAAAGTCAACACTACGGGCTTATATATTGGCAGGATATTTATACCGTTACTGTTTTTATCTGTATAGTGACCTTGAGTATTAAGAGGGGCGCTAATAAATAAAATTATTATTATTATAATATTTTTTTTTCTTTTATTATTATTATTATTATTAATATTATTATTATGCCTCCCTGCAGAGTATGACTCATGGTTGCATATCGTTGGGAGAAAGTTGTCCCTCCACCGATTCCTAGAAGTCGTAACAGAGATGAAATGTGAGGAAAAGAGTGATTATGTTTAGCTGAGTCAGCAGTTTGGAACAACAATGCACCATTTGTGGGTGAAGTGTTACTGTTACTTCTTCTATTCTGATTCTATTCAAAATGACATTTTAAGACTAATGTGGCCTATCACTTCATAGTGGTGATTCATGTGTTGGTCCAGTTTTGCTTGGTTTTGCCTCCATCTAATGATGTGACATCACTGCGATGTTGGCTTACAAAGGTCTGGGGTACCAACAGCCTAGTGGTCTAGATAATTCCACTGTTCTCTATCAGTCAACAAAGGCCACAAATGCCTTAAAGTAATCTTTTAAAAAAGGGGAGGCCTGTATCCCCTTTAACACATGTACTCTTGAATATTTCCAGCAAGCCTTCAAAAGAGTGTTTTTTAGGAGGGGGGAGGAGTTTTTGTCTACAGTAATAGTGACTGTTTACCCAACATAAGAACAACAATAATGAGGTAAATAAAGTGAAGGGTAAAGAACAAGAGGCTGAGAGTCTGTTCAACACAGATCATTTCATGGTCCTGCCCTCTCATTAACTCTGCATGTTAACTGGTGAATTCACACACTGGCTCACCAGCTTCACATATTATTCTCCACGGTGGTAGTGAGAAAAATAACAATAAAAAATGGCAAAGGTAAATGGGTGTTTGTGTTCAC